TGATCATGTATTGTGTTATATTATATTTCTGGAAAATTTAAGGGGTAGTTATATAATAATTTTGGATGATCTCAGGCGGTCAGATACTTATGACCGCTACTGTAATAATAGTTGTTTGCTTTTAGCCATAATAATACATTGTCAACTCTATTTCATTATATGGTAAAATCTCTGAAAACTGTTGCATCATTTGCTGATTGACGTCTTACCACAAGTACATCCAGTAACGATAGGTACCTTGGAAGCCGATTTGTGAATTCTTGAATGTCTTGTGGAAAGTTTATAACGTTTCTCCTGTATCCATTTTGTCCTCCCTGTAGTCTATATACTGTCATTACTGTGAAGATTTGTGCTATAAGCATTTCTTCAATTTCTGTGAACCCTTGAAGTTCTTCTGGTACATCTTTCGAATCCATATTGTTTTCTGCTAAAACTTCCTAATAGATGCCTTTTCTGTGTAACAATAATGGCATTCTTCCTTTACAAGCGTCATCAAAGGTATTCACTCATTACACGTGAGACAATAATTATACCGAATGTTCTCCATCTTGTTTCTGAATTTTATCAAAACACAGTGTTAGTCTTCACTAATTGTTGTGGCTGAAATTGGTTTGTCAGATATGATTGTGTTATCATTGTCTCTTTGAGTTGTTTCTTGATGCACTGCAGTTTCGTGACATTTTTGTTCTGCAACATTCATTCCTATTCTTTGCTCCATTTCGTTTCTTTGTAGTTGTTCCACTGCCTCTTGATATTTTTTCTGCTTACTTTGAGACTCACGTTTATGTTCATTTTCACAGTTAATACACAATTCACATTCCTCAGATATCTCTGTGGATTTTTTTTGACTTCTTAAAATGCGCATACTTGTAAGTCGTGCTTTCCGTTCTTCAACCGTTTTATCTGCTCTTCTTTGACGTTTTAATTCATGTTCCTATTTAAGACGTGTTTCCCGTTATTCAGGTCCTTCACGATTTTTGCTGTTACGTTTTCGGATTGTTTCAGGATTAATAGGTTAGTATTTGAATCATTCATTTTATATTGCACTTTGATTGATGTCAAATGGATGAAATATTATAATTTGATCTTT